ATTTAAAGGGCCATTTGTTTCATTTGTCTAACTATATATTTAAGATTTGCATCTCTGAATATTCCACTGCAACTGTTACTTTATTTAGGCTGAAATCCTGTTGCCTAGCATAGTCCATGGACAACCTGAATTAGGCCCACTTGATTCACTGGAACCTATGGAGGAATACAGTGGTGCCTCGCATGACGACATTAATTCGTTCCAGCGAAATCGCTATAGAACGAAAATGTCGTAAAGCAAAATTAAAAAGCCCACAGAAACACATTAAAACCCGTTTAATGCGTTCCGATGGGCTAGAAACTCACCGTCCAGCAAAGATCCTCCATAGGGCGGCCATTTTCGCTGGCTGTGCAGCGAGGAATCCATCCCAGAAAACAGCGGGGGGCCATTTTGTTTACCCGGTGGCCATTTTGAAACTGCCAATTAGCTGTCTGAAAATCATCATTTTGTGAAGAATCGGTTCCCTGCTTCGGGAACCGATCATCACAAAGCGAGATTCCCCCACAGGAAACATCGTAAAGCGATCACAAAAAGTTTGTTGTGATGCAGTTTCGTCGTTAAACAGAGCGATCGTAAAGCGAGGCACCACTGTACTCTTACCAAATCTCCACAAAACACAAATCAGCAGACATAGTGGAGCAGCTGTTCAGAGTGATGCTTGCTTAATTTCTATTTCCTATTTAAGTTCAGGATCTTCTGTTTTATGAGATATATTGAATTGTTTGCTTACTCACATAGTTTCCTGATGAACCCTGTTCAAACACACTGCAGACATGACCAGCTTCATGACTTTTAAGTCTCCTAGGAAGTCAGGCTACAAGACATTGATTGCACAAAAAAGGAAGTATTTATTATTATATCTTAGAATGTTTTATAGACATATATAGTCTGAAAAGTGTCACCCTACCATTTGGTCCAGCTCTACAGCTTTTAATTTTGGGGACCAGATTGCAGCAATTCTGCAGCAGACGGTTGTTTTGTGGGTAGTTGCATGAGACCCCTTTAGTTGGATGGGAAAGACAAATTTCAATGGGCTGTCATACTCGGAAGTCACAATTCCAGATTGTTTTTCACAATATAAATTTTCTGCCTGAAATGGGTGCTGCCAAATTGTTCCTGAGAATGACTGGTGGCTTGCTGCATCTGTCTCATCTAATCACACATACATCCAGAATTTGCTTTGTTTATCCTACTCAAAAGTGTTCCATTCCATCAGGTTTGGGGGCAATAAAGGATTAATGAAAGCTGGATAGCTCATTGGTTTAAGTATCTGGCTATGGAGCTAGAGGCTGGGAGTTTCATTCCCCACTGTGCGTCCTGCAAGTGGAGCTAGCATGTGCGGCTTTTCACAAGCTACACAATCCGAGGGTACTCCCAGAAGAAGGGAATGGTAAATAACTTCTGAGCAGTCTCTACTGCAAAAACCCTGAAAGAGGTTGCCATAAGTCACAATTAACTTACATAAGAACATAAGAAGAGCCCTGCTGGATCACGGCCCATCTAGTCCAACTTCCTGTGTCACTCAGTGGCCCCACCAGATGCCTCTGGGAGCACACGAGAGAACTAGATACCTGTCTCCTGATACCCCTCCCTTGCATCTGGCATATTGAAGCACTTTCCGTTTAAGCCTGGAGCAACTTGATGGCACGTGATTATTATCATTAATATTTTGGGGATTTGAGATCTAAAACATTGTTCTGATGTTCATCCACTGCATCCCACTACTTTTTGGCATCACTTTTTATCACGAAGTCACCATTCCACCCTGTTTTCGCTCTGTTCCGGCTTTTACCTAGACCCCATCCAGAGACATATCACTATAACATGTTGAGCCGTTTCTTTACACGTGTCGGGTGCCAAGGGTTGGTGTTGTAAAAGCTTCTACATGTACATGGTGAAAGCTTCTATATATTTTGGGCTGACCCAAAATATTTCGCTACCATATTGACAGTTTAAGGGATGCAAACCAGATTACAGAGCAGATAAATCCCTATCTGTTTCGCACCCTTAGCCTTGCCACACACACTACAATCTGACTTGTGCTTGAAATTATTGCTATTATCAGACTGTTTCCTTTTGCACAAATCTGAACCTTTTGCACTGGCATAGCCTGCAATAGTATATTGTCCATGATATTCCTTCTTAAGCCAGTAAAGCTATGGTACCTATGAACTCTAAAGAAAAAAGAGCCTTATCTTTGTAAGGAAAAAAATGAGTCTATTTTAAGGACCAGATAGCCTACAATATTGTGTGCCTACAATTTTGCTCCCCTAGTAAGGTAAGTGCAGTTCACAACATTATACCATTTAAGAACTAATTTGAAGCAAATCATCTAGACAATTAAGGTTTAGAAATTGGCAGAGCAATTATTGACAGGTGCAAAGGTGCATTTACAACAACTAGGCCCAATATTAATATAATTTTTATTAAGTTTAGAAATACCATTTCCTATTGTTACAGTACCCATTTTGTTCAATGCTACTGTTTAATGCTGTTTAATGCTACTATTAATCAAAGGCAATTGTAGGTACAAATCCTATCCATCTGAGCTGGGGATCAAGTCTTACAAAGATTTGTTGCCTCCCGCCTCCATAAACCTGATAGTAATATGTAATCTGTGATGGATAGCGGAACAAAAAAAACAGAGCTAAGAAGTTAGTAGTTTTTAAATTTCTACAGTAACAAGCTGTAACATTGGGTTTTCATCTGTAACAATCATGTCTGTAATTGACAACTCTTTAAACAAAACGAGAGTGAATGGCTGCCTGTTACTTCTTTAGGAACAAAAGGAGTAGATACAGGGAATACAAATGTCTGCAGATCTGGTGTGGTTTATCAGGTTTTTTCCTTCGTTTCCGCTGGTGATACAAAGATCTCCCTGGAACAGCTACCCACTCACACTCTACAACAGAAGTCCCCAACCCCCAGTCTGCAGCCCAGCGCCAGTCCGTGGCCTGAACTGGACCAGGCAACCAAGACAGACTTCCCCCCCGCACGCACTCACCCCCGCACAGCTTGTTTGTGCCTGTACGCATGCTCCAGCATACCCATGTGAGCGCTGCACATGCCTGTGCGAGTGTCACATGCACACGCACAGGGGCACACACTCATGCGAGAGAGAGTGCAAGCACTTGTTCATGAATGCGCACGAGCGTGGGGGGTGCCCCGCCTTCCCCAGCCAGTCCGCAGACTGAAAAAGGTTGGGGACCGCTACTCTATAACACACACACCCAGCAAAGAAGCAGTTAAGGAAAGGTAGAGGTTTTAAAGGGACTACAGGTTCTGTGGCAACCTTCCTTTCCCCCTCTTTGATTTAAAAGAACAGTGACTAGGAACCTGCTTTTCCTCTACATCACTTGGGATTTCCTCCTCCCTGCTATCCGTGCAACGGCAGCAGGTGACCTTTCTAGCAAGAGCAGGAGCATCAACCTGCCAGATGAAGAAAGAGTAGATTGACTAAACAATCTTCTGAAAATGGTCCTGTGAGTGGCTTGCTACCTGAGTCCTTGGCAGGCCATGTGCCCTAGCCCTGAACCTCTTTGGGAACTCACTTAAGAGGCCACATCTGGGGAAACATCTGGGGAAGATAGAGGGTGAGCAACCTTGGGGGAGAGGCTGGAAAGGAGGAAGGGCAATGAGACAGAGGAGGAAAGGACTGCATTCTCAGGGACAGTAATAGAGAGCAGGGAGACCCAAGGGGGGTAAAGAGGTCGGAAAGAAGATGTGGAGGAGTGGGACTCGTTCTTCTGTGCTGCCAGGGAAGTGGAGTACGAGCTAGAAGATGAACCCACAAAGAGGAGTCCTTATGGAGATCCTGGTGGCTAGAGGATGCGGCCGTAGTGGAGGAACGTCATCCTCACTCCACCACAGCAACCCTTGCAACCTATTTCCACCTGGCAGCCGCAATGCCCAACTAGGCCAGCAGCACCCACCTCAACCCAACAGTGCCACTGGCAGCACAAATGCCAGCACAAGAGGCAACAGTGACTTCAGGAGAAGCAGGACAGCCCCCTCAGGTACCATCAGGAAGCTTTACTGAACCTCACTAAAATGTTCTGATGGACTACTGACTGCTGGCCTATTGTCACCCACCTAGTTCTCTGACTTGAGGCAGCAAGCAGCCCCAAGTGAGGCTAACTGGGGTCAGGACCAACAAGACACAATTCAAGGAGCTAGTACTGGAACTCATCCCGCTGGAGATTTATCTGGCAGGACAGTGAAAGGCAGTAGTGTTGTAAACCGAAAGATAACATTAATAAAGCCTCATAGCCATTTCACCAACAACCTGGATTAGTTACTGGGGGACAGCATTCACAGGGATACAATATGCATCTTCCCTGATGTGTTTGGTATGGAGGATCCTGGATCAGGAGCACTTTTTGGGCGTGTCCAAGAGGGGGAGTTTAAATCTTCCTTCCATCAGTTTTCTCTCTCAAAATTCACTCTCTTTCCTCAAATTAAAACAAAGAAAAACCTCTTTGGATCCAAAAGCAATCAGGATATTTGTTTAGTTGTATATACCTAGGCAGTGACTATAATCTTGCAGCCAGTTAACCAGAACTTGAGAGCACAATGCTGTGCATGCTTTGTAGAAGGAAGCCCAATACCCAAAGATGTCTGAGGGGAAGATTTCCAGTACAAGGAGAAAAACCAATGACTGGGGACATGTCACAGGCCACTCATTCCCCTCCCTCCACAAAATACAATCACTACAAGTAGAGGTAGGACAGGTTTCTGTTGCTTCTGAAATTAGACTACTTCTTAGTCAACTCCACATGAACAGGGACTTACCTTATAATTATAGTATAAAAGTGGTGTGTATATTGGGTGGTATATTAGACGGACGGACAGATGGATGGACAGACAGACAGATAGACAGACAGATGGACAGATGGATGGAACTGGAAAAATTCGCTGAAAAGTGTGTGAAACCCACACCTTTCTATACAACTTATTCAACAGAGCCACACACGATACATCAAGTGTTTTCTATACAATACCTCTGTGCAACAGCTTCTCTAGGACAATTCTCAAGTGCTGGAAGGTGGTCGGTGAAACTTCGTACTTGTATACGTCTATCACCGGTACCCGCTGACACGTCCCAAACACTCCATCTGGGGGGGAAAGGGGGGAAAATGAAGCGGGAGAATTTAAAAAGAGGGGGAGTAAATCTAATTTCTCTGTGATATACGTACTGTAATCCACAAACAGATGGATAGTATTATGTGTATTGTTGCTGTTCTCAAGCTGAGGAACTCCCTCCTACAAAAGGCCAAGCTGGCCTCCTCTTTGCTGTCCTTCTATAAGCTGGCAAATTCCTTTTTCTCTTCAGACAAGCTTTTTCTCAATATTTTTGTTATTGTTTGCCTCTTTAGTCTGTAAACTGTCCAGAATAGTGCATTGCACCAATGGGCAATATATAAATGAAATCAATCAATCAATAGATAAATAATGAGAGGGTTCTTGAAAATGGGGCTGCTGTGTTTTTGTTATATATTTATTTATATTTACATTTACATGTTTATGTTATTACCATTATTATTATCATTATTACTTTAAATGTGTTTAACTAGCATTTTTTGAATAGTATTTTATTTGAATGTTGTTTAATTCTTTTAAAAATATTTTCATAAAATATTGTTTTTAGCTTTTAATACCCTGTTTCCCCGAAAATAAGACCTAACCTGAAAATAAGCCCTAGTATGATTTTTCAGGATGCTCGTAATATAAGCCCTACCCCAAAAATAAGCCCCAGTGAAGTGAAATCCCGTTCTCCATCACTGTGCAGCATTGTGCAGCAACCAGAAAAAGATGACATGACTGTAAAATAAAACATCCCCTGAAAATAAGCCTTACTGCATTTTTGGAGCAAAAATTAATATAACTCCCTGTCTTATTTTCGGGAAAACACTGTATTGTTTTATTTTTAATATTATAAGCTGTCTTGCTCCTTTTGAGGAGAAAGACAAGGTACAAATATTGTAAATAAATAAATAAATGTTTACAACAAGTCTTCCATATAATAGTGACATTACACACACAGAACAGTTTGGACACTTTCTTGGTCACTTTTCATTAGAGTCTACTGTTGATCTAAGGGTTCCTTTGTAGCAGTCATGTAGGAACAAATGAAATAAATGTTCTTAATGAAAATAGGAGAGCGCAGGAAACATGTATGTTAGCCTGCAGAGGCAGGGAAAAAATTTTACTATTATTTTCTTTTTTGTAATACAGAAACTCCATAGTTGTAAATGAGTGTTGAATCGATAATAGGCAGAAAAGGCTAGTTTTAATGTAGTACCCTCTAATGAATGCAATAAAAGCGAGCTGCTCATGCAACAATGAGATATTAATGGAACCTAATTTATTTAGCTCCATTCCATTCGTCTAAAATGACAGACTCTTCTCATCAAACTCTTTTCATATCACACTTTCTAATTAATTTAGGTCCTAATTAGTCTTTATTTAGAGAATTGTTCATTTCAAGACTAGCTTCCTGTGTAGGAAGAAGATAGGCTGGGGAGGGGGAGTTCAAACATTCAAATTACCTTTCTTCTTTCCATACAAAAGACTAATTTAGAATCTCAGTGTTTATAATACCCTCTAACCATCTGCAGCTCTAGGCTTTAAAAAAATGGGTGCATTTATTGTTGTTCTCTCCTGTATAAAGTGATCCAAAGAAAGCCATTCAAATGCAACAAGTTTAATTAGCATACTATTCTTCACATTGCTTGTTTTAATTCAGTAATTACTGCAGATATTGCATTGATAATCAAAAAGGACAGTGCAATTTGACTAGTAGAACATAGAATCAAGAATTAATTTACAAGTACCTATTTATTTCTATGGGATTTTAACAAGATTAAAGAATACAGAGACAAAACAGCTAATCTAAAACTTTAACAGTACTGAAGTATAGTAGAGTACAGACCTATAAATCAGATTACTAAACCAAATTTGAAGAGAGCTATATGAAAATCAAGTCACAAACTTTTCAAGAATCCTTTTTATTCACAGTTTGGGAAAAGATTTGCCATGTCCTGAATTTGTTGGTACTCTGGTCATCACCATCATCATTAATATATATTCTTCCATCGGTTCTCCTGCAACACACACATGCTGTTGATGGACCTGTTCTGATATACATGTGTGGGGCACTACTGATAAGTGCTACTGCTTCATAGCATTTACAATGCAGAATCCTTCCCCTGCCTTTATCATCCTTTGTTACTATGATCTGACATGAGGACATTTACCTTGGTCTTCTCAATGTTGATAAAAGTGAGTCAGCAGCTCACCAACAGCAACATGTTTTTAAACCCAAAACAGTTTCAGAATTCCCTGCCACACAATGGCTGAAATCCTGGTGTTTCGCATTGCAAGTCACAAGTAGAATAAGGCCACCTGGTGAGTAAGCGACTCCATAAGTTCTACTGATTCAATGCGGCTACTCCAGATGCAACTTACTATATGAAGCAACACAATTTCAGCCACTGTATAACCAGTCATTGCCAAAATGAGAACAGGCTCACCGAAAGGTGGCAAAGGAGTCAACAGCAAAGAGGAGTCTGGGAACACCTTCAGCAACTGCAACTGGAAATACAAGAAGACTTATAACTCACTGATGGAAACATCAACAAATAAAACCTTGGAAATGGCCTTATCATATGAAACTAAACACAGCAAGATATGGCATTCAATCCACAAGATTGAAAATTTGGAGAAGAGAAGCAGACATAGGAGCTCTGCCTGGAGTACACATGAACAGAAGAGCAAACATAACACTGATCTTCTGATTAAACAAAACATGTCTCAAACTGTGACTTGGGGTCCTGGGGCTAAAACAAAACAATGTGACCAAAATTGAGATATCATAATCTGGTTTTCAAGGTACTACACAAAAGATCAAATCTCAGTGTACCAAGACTGATTACTAGAGATTCAAATGTACAGAGCTCATTATGGAAGCAGTTTTCATATATCAAAGGCTATTTTTATTTAAGTTGCTCCTCCACTAGGTAGGCGAACTTCCAGAACTATGAAACAGAAAACAAGTGGCCAAGTTCTGTGATAACAGGTACCACAAAAATTAGAGTTTCAGCATAACCTTCACGTTGGCATTGTCACTTTCAGATCAGAGCAGAAAACCACATCACAAAGAAAAAGGCATTAACATGAAGTGCAAGGAAGGGTGAACGCAACAGCCTTGGCCAGAGAATCCCACCATTTTGATCCCTACTGCCTGGAATTCTGTTGGTCAAAGCATAACATACCATTACAGTACACCATTATAAATGTGCCAGGCATTCTGCCCTGGCAACAAGGACTGTACAAGACACTTGTGCAATTGATCACATATTTCCTATTTCACTGATTGTGCAGTGTGCCAGTGAAGTGCTTCACTGCATAGCTATGTAACAGTATTTAGCCACTGATCCTTTAATCAACTCACATCAGCCACCTTGACAACTGGCAAACAGCCTGTTCAACCACTCTGGAAACTAGTCTTATTATTTGCTCAAACTCAGCTAATTTCAGGGGGGTGGTGTTATGGTGTGGCATTTGACTGGGAAAAAATCCAGAGTATTCTTAAATGCCCTATAACCATGCCTGGTGATGTTCTGTCATTGCAGATTATCAGACGTACACTGTTGTCCCTTATAGCTGGGCTAAGGTATGTAAACTGCTGATGTTGCTGGTACATTTATTTTTCATTTCGTTTATTTATTATGTTTAATTGTCTGCAAATATCCTACTGTAACCTTGAAACTGAAGAAGCAGCGTTGGGAGCATTAGTGTATGTAATTCTTAGTACTGTAGCCAACCTTATAAACAGTAAGGCTAGTTTTAGAATTTATTGTTATTGTGGATCTTACTGTGCCTTCAATAAATCTAGTAGACCATTTAAGATACAACTGCTTTGAGAGATAGAGAACTAGAGTGACTTAAATAGCAAGAGGAAGGGGGAGAAGCCATGTCACCCATTGTTGGATTACTTACCAAACAAACACGAATTGATTATCTCATAGAGATACAAGGACCCTACATATTATATACAACAAGACTTACTCCTGGCTCAATTAGTTTTTTAATCCAAAGGACACATTAACCAATTAACAATGATTATATAGAACCCTTCCTTGATCAATGCAGGAAGGCTACCCATATTTTGATTGATTGATTGATTGATTGATTGATTGTCATTGTAAGTATATACACAGTATACCCATACAATGAAATTCACAGACACCCAGAGACCAGACACATGCACACACATAAAATTCCCCAAACATTCCCACCCACTAAAAAATCCCCCAACACTCCCCACCCACTAAAAGTCCCCACTAAAAATACAAACATCTACACTGCAGGCCAAGTAACACAGTCCAACTAACTGTGGAGATTAAATTCTGCTCTGTAGACCAAGTAACTAGCTGACACTAAAAAATGACAAGTAAACACTTTTTTCTCTTTTTCTTTCTTTTTTTCCAGAGAATGCTGTGCCTGGGACCTCTCAAGCATCATTGTGGGATACCCTCAAAGCCAATCTATGCATCTATAATGGGGCCAGAATTAAAAGTTCTGATGAGAAAACAGAGGAGAAGCAATTTGTGAGACTGAAGCTTTTTCCCAATGGCACAAAGAGTCAGGAGGCACAAGAATAGTTCATGCTGTTCTAAATTAGAACTGCATTAAACACTCTTGGCAGAAACAAAATTTTAAATTCCTTAGCCTATCCAAACAGGAGACATTATGAACTTGACAATTCTAGATTGTTAGCCAGAACAGTAAAATAACAGGCAAACTGAAAACAATAAAATTGATAAAATCTGAATCTGGTAATCTTGTTTGCTAACCAACTAAAATCAACCCTTTATTTTAAGCCTTTAACATTTAGAATCTGAATGACAATAGGAACTTGAAGTTTTTATAAGTGCCTTGCAGGGCTGTCCCCTCTCTCCTCTGCTATTTATTTTAACATTAGAGACTTTTTATAGACAAATACGATGAAATAATGGAATTAGAGGCCTTACAATCAGGAGAGAAGAATTTAAACTACAAGCATATGTTGATAATTTAGCACTGGTATTAGAAAATCCCCTGGATAGTATGG